GTTTAGTGCTTTGTGTAGATCGCTTAGCGTTGGATTGTCGTACGCTCGAATTATGTCAAACGTGTCTCCTGCATATTGTATCATATTTGCGCCTACGTGGTGCATGTGTGCCGTGCAGTGAAAGCCATAGGGAAAGTTAGAGGATGATCGACGGTCGATGTCGAAGCTTAGCTTTGCAACTGATCGCCTTAAGGAGCATAGTTTATCTCCTGGACTCAGTCGTTTGTCGATCCTTTAAATGGCGTCTTACAAAGACGCCGTCTAAGTTTCAAAATGGTACGGATAAAAATGCGACAGTATTCCGTCTTGAGTAATGTAACGTTTTCAGATTACGTTACGGTCCATTTCCTACAAATGGATACGCCCCGTACGGGTATAGGCGTGTCAAAGTGATATAGATAAAATGTAACACTACTAACTCTCCACAATAAACCCTTGCGGGTTGCGGTGGAGAGTCGAATAGGCTCACTCACTTTTGACTTAACTCACTCTCCACTTGCTGAAACGTAACGTTCTGGCGGTTAAGTTATGGATCATTTGTTACAAATGTATACGCGCCTTTAGAGTTTAGAAATAAGTTATGAAAAGGTTATGTAGAATTACTCATATGAGAAAAACATAAATAAATAAACATAGGGAAAAGCAATTATTGAAATAAATTCAAATAAAATTTAAAAATGTGAAAAGGTAAAAACGGAAGGAAACATTTAAAAGGCAACATAAGAAGTTAGACAGAGCTGTATACTCCGATAGTATGTCTGGAGGTACACGAAACGAAGAGAACAAAAATAAGCAAAACTTAGTGAGATATGATGGTACTAGAGATTTTCAGAGGTTGATATTAGTGAAAGATGAACAACCTCCTGAAACAATATGAAAATTTGAAAATCAACGAAGAGAACGTAATGGACCGCCCATTAGTCATTGTACCCCACTGGACATATTACCTTGTGTCCTTCTGCATATCCTGTTGTGGAAGGTCAAAATACATCTCTCAAAGTCGATAGGTGTCTATGATTGATCATTTCTCAAGAGTCTTAAGAGCCTGAAAAAAAAACTTCGGCACAGTAGAAAGCTACAGAATCTTCGAAAAGTTGAAGTGAAACCACAAGAGTTGTGCTAGTGTTGCTATTTTCAATGAAACGCTCTGTATGATAATATTAGTGCATAAGCCGTTCCTGGTGATGAACACCGATGAGTAATGAAATGATCATTTACAGTAAATGAACCGTCGTAGTTGTAATTGCCATGCATTGTGAGATACTGCACGCAGATGTTTCATTTAAGGAGGTGAAATCAACAACCTCATGCTTTCTGAAGGAATATCTTTATCATCACAAAACATATTATTTGAGAATATGAGTGATATATGAAAATTTTTTCAACGCTATTATATTATTTAGTTTATTGCATCACAAAACATATTATTTGAGAATATGAGTGATATATGAAAATTTTTTCAACGCTATTAAACGAAAATGTTTGTTCATATGTGCCTAAAGTGAAATAGTGAACATAAAACAGTAATATAAATAGTACATATTCTGTTTAAACTGTTTTTTCGTTAATCAGCTATCGCCCCCGTACTAACGACAACTCTCAGAAGTTGAGAAACTTGTGCGAGCTGAGGACTAACGAGGTCTTTCCTTTTAACGTGTGATTCCTAATATATTCTTGGAATACTTTGAAATTTTGAATAAATAACTGCCAAACTATAAATGAAATGTCAAGAAACGGAAAAACACCTAATAATGAAAAACCTTTCACTAGAAAGTATTATAAAATAATTAGAGAATTATCTTATTTACTTTTCCCAATTGCCTTGCCCAAAAATGCCACAAAAATCTTTTTTCATGAAAGGATATTCTTTCAATATGATGATTTTTCTTGAATTATCAAGATATTTTATTAACAATAACAAATTGTGACATTTTTCTTTGTTATTGAATTAGTGTTGTCGATTAAAAACTTTCAAAAAACTATTAAAAAATGAATGTTTCTGTTAACTCCAAACTAATTATTTGAATTAACAACACTGACGTATTTCCACTTTTTACATTTTTATTGAATATTATTATTGACGCTAGTGATACCATATTGATACAAATTAGGTTTCGAAACTGAATTGATTATATCAGATGGTTAATTGGCAAACTAAATCCGAACAGATCGAGATTGAACCATTGGCCTTCCCCATTGCTAATTCAAATTTCTTCGAATCCATTTTTTATGAGTCTAGATTTCGAAGGTTGGTTAGCTACTAATAATTCACAAGAGGCGAAATGAACACGCAACATGGGTTTATTATTATATCTTTTTATTGTGAACTTATACTGATCTAGCAAGATTAAAGTTTCTGGTTACAACAAATTGGACAAATTTCACACGGGCGATATGTTTCGCCATTAAAAAGACATTTGACCTTATTGACTCACACGAAGTCATATTGGGGCAATAGATAGGCTTTATTAGTCATTCAGTGAGAAAACGTTTCGCCGGAAACAAATCTGCTTGCTTAACAATGATGGGAAATACATCATCCAAAAAGTATATCATTGTTGTGCATAATTTGAATTCAAATGCTTCAAAAAAAACAAGAGTTTTTACTTGCCATTCTGTTTTCATTATACAGTGCATTTCTTTAATGTCCCCCCCTTTTTTTAACGGGTTAACTCAAAGAATTGAAATTTGGGATAATGAAATTGATGCATGAATACTTTGAAGTGAAATTGACACATGAAACTTTCAAGATGGCGACTGGGCGCCATCTGGAAAAAAAGTGAATGGAAAGGTGGGTCTTGTGATACATCATTTTGAAGCTCCTTACGAATACTTCACAACCCTAGAATATGAAGTCAATAACTTCACCTACTACAAAATGGCGGAACGTTCAATAATTTCCTGAAGACAAACACATTAACATCGATATTTCTAAAAATATTCCTTTTTATCTGCCATAGGTATGGCAATTCCAACAACCCGATAAGGTTTGTTGAGTTAGGTATTTTCTGTTTATAAAAACGACAAAAAATATCATTACGACAATGAACATCACTGTTCAGTTGGAATATTCTCATTTAGTTTTCGGTTTTACTAGTAGAAAGGCATGGTCAATTCTCGTCCATTGGAAGAAAAAATTGAAGCGATTTTTATTTACGGTGCGACGCGTAACTTTTACGAGACAGAAAGGAGTTTCAATGAACACAATGGAGCACCATCACATTACTCCAGACAAGTAACAAACTATTTGGATAGTACTTTTCCCGGTCGTTGGATTGGCCGTCGAGGTCTAACAGAATGGCCAGCCCGCTCGCCAGATTTGACACCTTTGGACTTTTTCCATGGGATTATTTTAAGCAAAAGGTGTACGAAACTGAACCTGTTTCAATATTGGATACACGGTAGAGAATAATAAATATTTGTAGAGATATTGACGTTATTGTTGTGTTCGAAAATGTTCGGCGTGAAATCTCGGATAGGCTGTTCATATGTCAAGAAGTTCAAGGCAACCATTTCGAGCATCTTCTGAACTGACCTTAAGCTTATTACCTCATATTCATATTATGTTGTTAAATGTCAATGTATTCAGGCAATTATTTGAGGTTTCTCTATTTTGTAGTAGTTGAAGATATTGACATTATATTCTAGGATTGTGAAGCATTTGTCAGGGGCTCCAAAAATATGTGTGACAAGACCACCCTTTCCATTTAATTTTTTTCCCAAGATGGCGCCCAGTCAGCATCTTGAAAGTTTCATCTGTCAATTTCACTTCAAAATAAAGTATTCATGCATTAATTTCATTATCCTAAATTTCAATATTTTGAGTTGATCCGTTCAAAAAATAAAAGGGGGGGACATTAAAGAAATGCATTGTATATTGCGAACTATCAAACTGAGATGAATGACTTACATTCAGAGACATGAAATCAAATTCAGATTTCCGAAAGCATTTCAGTATAAGGATTCCACCCGTGAAGGATATTTTCTGGGAATTTTCATCTTCCACAATTTGTGGAAAATGTGAAATGTGTTACCAACATTTATATATTTCACATTTAAAAATTCTTTGACATACGTCGATGAAATTTGAAAATTGAACGAATCAAAGAAAAATGTTCATGTTACACTTGATTTTATCAATTCTGAAGAAGATTTTTGGCCTCCAAAATGTTAAAAAGTCATATAAAATTTCTCAGCTCTTTTTTGGACTTATCTTCAGTACCATTTTTTTTCAGATTGTGGAAGATTGTTTTTAATATTATTTTTATTGAGTAAGTTTTAGTTTCGGATTTTTTATTATCTATCTAGAATTCTTAAAATTGATTTTAAACATCATCATTATTTTATTAACAAAAAATAGTATTGAAACGCAGTTTTAATGTTCTGAAAAATGTTCTTACACATTGATTCTCATGAAAAAAACTGCACTCATTGAAGTTTAATACGTTTTACTTATATTTGCAATTTGAGATTAATATGATTCTGATCATGTGTGTTGTAATGGTACTTCTGAAATTTTATCAGTTCTCGTTTACAGCCGATACAGTTATATACTGTTTCGATCACGAAAAGGGTTAATTAGCCAGTTGCGTAGGGTTTTACGTAAGTTTAATTTCAGTTTTTGTTTTGATTATTGAAAGAAATACATTTGCCAACACAAAACTAAAGTTCCATGTACAAAATTTTTCATATCACAAATAGCTCAAAAGTGAATTTGATATTTTTTGTATTTTTGCGTTTGTGTTTGTGTCCAACTTGTTTAACATCTAAAAATTGTTTTGAATGACTTTGTTATAACAATGGATAGCGATTTTCATGCTTACCAATTTTCTATTTCATTGAAATCTCAAAAACTAATTCAAGACTCTCCTATCAATTTGTTTGCTTTGCTGAATTTATCACTGTAATTATTTACTTCACTGCAAGGTCGATTCACGATACTGATCTGATATCAGTTCTCGTTGATATAACTCATAGATGGTACTAGTTACTAGTAAGACCGCTGTTCAAAATAGTCGTGAACTTTGTATGATTTCGTTGATAATAGGTTTTATTTTTCTTCAGTTGTGTGTTACAACCTGTCAAAATATATTTCATATATACCTCTCTACCAAGAGTTCGAACCAATTGAATACCTCTTCAAGCGTTGAAAGACATTCACCAGGCACTTGTTTGATTGTTCGATTTTAGGGAACGGGAAGAAGTTAGTGACTGAAAATTCTTCCTCAAGTTTGATGTGATGTGATATAGTTACTATTGTAAACAATTTAAAATAATATCTGTCGTGATAATTTTTGCTAAGACTTCATATCTTCAGATCGCGAACTTTATTCACCGTATAAATCGTGTGGTGTATTGTTTCTTGAACATTAATTATTTCTGAAAGGACTGTTATGCGGGTGATGACAAAACAATAAAAGGTATATGTATATGTATTTATTTAATTTCTATTATTATCAACAATACTTCCAAAAAACACTTATCCAAAACTGAAGCTGTAATACTTTTGCTGTCGCGAGTTTCGCCAAAGAAGTTGGTATCATCATAACTTGAATTGTACTAAGAGAATTGTAGATGGTCCAAATAATTTTTAACTACCTCATAGCTAACTTACATCTAACAGGATGAACCTGTACTTTTACCTTCAGACAGATATAGACGGGAGGGTAGGTTAATAAAAAAATACAATTTTATTCTTAATATCATATACGTCTTGTTTCAGTGAGCCCCACAGAAACAAGATGATTCCCCAGAAACTAATTTTTTTAATCAATCATACGTCAGTGAATTATTAAGTGGTGTAGTAATGAATATTACTGGAGTTCTATCGCAACACCAAACCGTTATTTTTAGCCCCTCGACACGTGTTTCAATCACCAAGTGATCATTTTCAAGAGAAAGATTGAACTCCTTTAAGGGTTTCAATCACCAAGTAATCACTTGGTGGTGATCAAAACACGTGTCGAGGTGTTAAAAACAACGGTTTGGTGTTGGGATAGAACTCCAATAATATTTCTTAAGTACAAATTAGGTGGAATTTCCCGGTAATTTCAAGGAAAGAACATAGTGGTTTATAGAATGGTGAATGAGGCTTTTTGTCTCTAGAATGTTTCTTGGATACACGGTACGCATTCTTTGAAACGAGTTTTGATAACTTGTCTAGTCTGACCAACATATTTTTTGTCTCATCACATATTATTTTATAAATCATTAGATTCAATCCATTATTGTACCTATATAGATCCATACTTCATAACAAAAGCCAAGGATGTACAAAGAGACTCAGTTTATCGATAATTTGAAGGATACCCCTTGCTTTCGGTTATGAGAAAAGTGACTTAGCTGATATCGACAAAAAGTGTAGTCTTTCATTTTTCATTGTGGACAATATTAGGAACTGTCTGGAATATATTTTATAACTGAAAGTACAGGTTTTCTTCCTTGAAGTCTCGTGGATGTAGAAATGAATTTCACAATTATTATTCCAATATTTATTTCTGCCGAAACTTATCGTGTTATGATAATTCAATTATTGAAATATTCAAAGCGGTCGATAATTTGTAAGAAAACATAAATACCCCTATAATGAATTTCAGAACGTTTGCTTTCATTTGTGATTATATATTATGTTGAATAACAAATGTTAATCTTGAAGAGAAATTTTCATTATTTTACGACTATCGATTGTAATCTGTTAAATTACTCAAATTATTTCTTGAAAAGTGATCAATTTTGATGAAATTTTTCTCACGTAGTCGGTTTACTTCTAGTAACACGTGCCTGGACGATATTCCGTTAAAAAAAATCGAATAATCAATGAAGCTTCCGAAATATGAAACGGGAACTGAAATAGTTGGCTAATAAAACCTCCAGTCACGTTCAGGAATTTTGACCACCCAATTGCTGAACATTCAATAGTTAACGAATACCATTATAATTTGTTTACCATATCTGTAAACATTTATAGTGAACTAGAAACAACGTGGAATACGCTTCCAAGAAATTTTCTATCTGGATATTTGAGCTATTTCTTAGTATTTCGTCCATTTCTCAGCTGAGGTAAATTTAATAGCTGTTGCTATAGTAATTCGTTTAGGGTTAATCGTTACATCCTAAGGTCAGAACTGACTCATTGCAAACTACCTTTGAGTCATTTTAGATGACGCATTTTTAAAATGCGAGCTCGCTGTGTACGGTGAAAGCAGGGGTGCATACGAAATGGGTGATATTCCTACTTTCCACGTAATTTACCACACGGCAACAACCCTTAAATTATCGTATGACTAAACATTGAATAGACTGAACCCTTGGTTGCAGAAAAAGCAGACTTGAAAACCAGTTTGGCATTGAATTCTAACGAGATGAAAATGCCAGTTTTTTCTTAGCCTTAAAAGTGAAATGCTTTAAAGTTTCATTGCCGTAGGCGTGTAGGGGCGTAATTATACAAAAATGGGTATTGACGGTGTGATGTATTAGCGACTTTTGTGAATATCGTCGGGATACAATTTTTTTCTTCCATCCAAAACAATTATTTTCGTTCCTAAGTTCCACATCAGTTTGAAAAATGAGCTAACAAAAACATTAAAGAAGTCAATTATCCTTTTTTGGCAGAATTAGATTTGAAAAAATGTGTTCGAATATCTCAAAAACTATAATAGATGACGTGAATGTGAAAAATGTATGGACTGTGAAAAATGTATGGACTATCAAAAATTAGTGGACTTTACTCCTACTAGTAACTAATTGATAATAATCTCATTGGTTTAAAAAAAACAACTCGCATAGAAGATGGCATTATATTTTCAAGTACTTTCAATCTTTCCAAAAGCTAAATAATATTGGCAGTCCAACAATCACCCAACTTTAATTGAAAACTCTGCCTTCATAAAAAGTGCTTCAATAACCACAGCCTTAATTAATACATAACCAACAATTTTTACTCGAAATTCTGAAAGTTCAATTTGGTAGTACGGAAAAGCGATGCAGCGCACGCGTCATCAATTTACACAACATACATTAGTAATCCAAATAGTTCCGAAAGTCAAGATTTTGAGAAATTTTCTTCCCTTTTTCATTTTCAATTTCCTAAATACTTCATTCAAATTTTTTGGGAAATCCGTGAAAACTAAAGTCTCCTTCATTATTATCTTAAGTTGTATATAACTTTTGCAATTGTTTGTTGTAATTTGATTTGCATACTCTTTATCATAAAAAGTAGAATAGTTACATTTATACTATATAAAATGTGGAATGCGAAATGGGTAAGTGCTGAACCTCGTTCTCTTCCTGTTATACAGTGTGTAAAAGCCAAATGGAATGAATTCATTATTTCTGTTACGGAACATAGTTTAACAAATTCCCGAAACACGTCCTTATGTTAAAAATTTATTATTTTATTAGACAAATTGACTTTCCATACCATTACAAGATTGAAAGAATACCACGTTATACATGTCGAATTGGAAATCATTCAACTTATTGCCACTCTCCTGAGTATTACTCAGTTTTTGTTTTGATTATTGAAAGAAATACATATATGTCAGAAGGGTCTGTTAAATTCTGTCCATAAATATTATCAACAACAAGGGCTATAGACGAATTCACCAAACCAGTAATAAACTTAAATTATTTTTTGTGGCTAGTGTTTCTTTCTTCCAAAATAACCATCTACCGTACTGTACTTTTTTGATAAATATTGTTACAGACTTTCCCTTGCATTCTACAATGTAAAAGATTCACACTAATTGATGTTAACGAGAATTTTTAATTCAAAAATGTGGGTAAACGTCATTACGTCATGACAATTTCGCTCATTCATAAAATATCAAAAATGTTGTGCGTAATTATTTCACCTCATTGATTGATTATAATAATGATGATCTCACTTACCCCACAAGAAAAGCGAATAACTTCCACATTGTTCAAACGCGTAATATTAACTGAATGAATAAAAATTCATAGTAATTAAACATTTTCAAAAGTCATTTAAATAAATTACTATCATTTGAAAACATGTGAAAAACTTATTAAATGAAAACTTTGTTGTCTTTGTTGATATTGTATTTGTGTCTTGGTTTTTATTATTGATCTGCTTTTCCGTTAACTAGCTGTCGCACCCCTACGAACGACAACCCTCAGAAATCGAAACTTGTGCGAGCTAAGGACTAACTAGGTCTTACCTTTTAATGTGTGATTCCTAACACGGGTTGAACGATAGCAAGTGAAAATCGCTCGTTCAGCCTGGGGCTTGAACCACCGACCAACACGGCAGTCAATTCGAGTGAGTGAACAAAGCACCCACGTCGAACCGACCGGCTACCGACCGATTGTAAATAGTATTATTTTACTTACTTGTGTAAAAATTTGGGTACGAATATATATATTAGGATTATCCTACTATATACCAAATAAAGCATTAGCATCAAAACAAACATTTTCGTGAGTTGATTTCAAAAGAAAATAATATAAAATGATTTGGCCATTGTAATCGAAACAAAACCTTTATGGCAAATTATTGTTAGACAGACCTCAAAAAAAGTGTATTTTGGCTTCACGGTAGTCTTCTATCCATTTCTTTCAAGTCTCCGAAAACTGTGACCTCGTACACTAATTATGTTTCTGTGAAAATGAAAATATGAAAATTTACTGTGGAAAAGATTATCCTGATTAACAGTATACGTGTTCCTCTCTCACTCGGAAATGTTTTTGGTTTGTTTGATCTCAGGCCTGTGATAGACGACTAATGCAAATTTGATTATTCGATATTTTGTAAGACTGATATTGCGTGAATCATTATTGGGATAAGATTATACATGTTTACGTCTTTAGTTTATTATTTTTTTTTCAATTTGTGAAAATGGCGATAACAAATGATATTAGATTAAATTAATTAGGTATATGTGTTTATTCAATCGGTAACGTTCCGTGGATCACGTATACCTATGAACTGTGAACTGTTTTATCTAAATTAGATATAGGCATTTGATCTCCAGCACTCAATACTCATTAAGATCGAAGTTAGACAAGATGTCTACTACACATCGCAAAATAAATAATGTGAATGATTGGAGCTGAAATATTAATTTAGTGTCGAAAAAATAATATGAAGGCAATATGAAAAATGTAATCAATTCTCTAATTGAAAATAAGTCTGATATTCTACCATCTGTGTTGAATAAAATTCAGCAATACGAGGAATATTTAAAAAAACGTTATATGTAATGCAAAAAATTATTCAGTTTCCCAAATATGTATTATTTTAAGAAGTAGTTTCAATACGCTTTGGCAAGTGTTCCTAACACTTTTCAAAACTCGGAAAACTTTCTCATCTTGCTCATTCACAGCTTTAATGACCCGCAGATTGGCTTTCGGATAACAGCCAATATTCGCAAGGGGCCAAATCTGGACAGTATGGAGGTAG